AAGTTACGGCAGGGGGGTGTTTGATGTTTTCATACATCAGGGGGGTAAACGATACATTTCTCATAGTACAGGGGTGCAAAATGAATTTTACCCAAAAAAAAATTTAAATGTATTAATTAATTGAAAAGCAAACAACAACCATACTGCTCTGTTAACGCACACACACCAAAATTGGGTGATCGATCGCTTACATATTTTGTATGAAATTCCCCCCAAAATCAACAAAGAATTAATCCAATCTCTCTAAATCATGCTAAGGCTCATCTCTTCCTCTTCCAAATCCAAATCATCAAAAACCCTAGCATCATATTCAGTCCCAATTCACTTCCCAAATCCTCACCATCTTTCCGGCAGCTCCGCCAATTCGACAAAGATTCCACCTTTGAATCGATACTTAAATAGGTTTTCATCGCATGGGTTCGCTAGAAATCCCGCAAATTTTGCAGATTTTAATCAGAATTGGAGTGGATTGAGGAATTTCAGCTGCGAATCATCATCATCAGTGAGGAGAGAGACTCTGAATTATGATGTGGTGATTGTTGGTGCGGGGCCTGCTGGATTATCTGCAGCTATAAGATTGAAGCAGTTGTGCAGAGAAAACGATGTCGATTTTTCGGTCTGTGTTGTGGAGAAGGGGGCTGAAGTAGGTAATTTCATTCTTGCTTCTTTTCAATTATTATTATTTATGTTTTTTTTTCTTCAAGAATTTTGATGGTGATGAATGGTGTTATGTGAATTCTGATAAGTGATTTTGGGAAGAAGAATCATGTTTAGTATTCGGGTTTCTTTTGTGGGTAGTTTGGAATTTTAGCTAAAGAATCAACTGAGGTATATTCCATTTTAAGAAGCTTCGGCAGTGTTTGAGAAACATAGATTAATTCTCATAGACATGAAAATAGACCAGCATGGTTAAGTTGAACTAACCGTGAAGTCGTTTATATTCGGAAAAAAAGAAAAGAAAAAAGAATTGCATTTGTAACGATACTCGAAACATATGAATTTATTCTGAGATGAAGAGTTAGCAGATACAGTTGATGATTTCTCTAATGGTCCTTTTTTCTCGAGAAAATAAAAATATTTTCCGACAATTTATGCGTCCCATTTACAGATTCATTTAGGAAAATTAACAGAAAGTATCATTACCTTTTTACGGATTCTTTTTTACTGCTTCGTCTTATAGAATCATAAGCCGCAGACAAATGTATCTTCTCATATCATTTTATTCCTCAGGTGCTCATATATTATCCGGGAATGTTTTTGAGCCTCGGGCACTGAATGAACTTCTACCAAATTGGAAACAGGAGGAGGTTTGTGTTTAGTTTTTGTTCCTTTTTTTTTTTTTAAAATTGAAAATAATGTTGTTAAATGAAGTTTTTATAGTCCATGCAAAAACTTCAACTTAGTAAATTTATATATGCTCAGTTTTGGCTGATGAACTGAATCGAATGTAATTCGAGAATGTGAATGTTTGTTTGTGTTTTAATATCAATAACATAAGATGACTGTTATTACACTATTTCCAGGCGCCCATACACGTTCCTGTTTCTTCTGACAAGTTTTGGTTGCTTTCCGAGACTCGTGCTTTCCCCTTTCCTTCTCCTTTCAATAACCATGGAAACTATGTCATAAGGTAACATCACATTTTTATGTTTTTTTCTTATAATCAAGAAAATTGGACAATCGTTTCCCTTTACCGTAACTCTATTGTTGTCTTGTAAAGAATCATCTACAATGTTTTGTTGCCTCATCTAATGGTTGGACGTGTAAGAAGATTCATAGTTGAGGGGTGTATGCAATTACCCAAACAGGAGGTTTTTTTTTGTAATTTGACCTTACCTCAGGGGATGGCCGTAATTTACCCTTTTATAAATTTGCATTTGTTCATATAAAATTAATGTAAAATTAATTTTGCAGTTTGAGTCAGTTGGTAAGGTGGTTGGGAGCCAAGGCTGAAGAATTAGGAGTTGAAATATATCCAGGTTTTGCAGCTAGTGAGGTATTTACTGTTTTTGTGCTCGATTATGTAATCATCGTGAATTTTTGCTCTCATTATTATCAATTATTTTCAGATACTATATGATACAAGTGACAAGGTAATTGGCATTGCAACCAATGATATGGGAGTTGCTAAAGATGGCTCTAAGAAAGAAACTTTCCAGCCCGGTGTCGAACTGAAGGGCAAGTTTTACGCCTTTTACGTTCTTCATATTTAATTTTTTAAATAAAAATGAAATGATAAAACTATTTTCTGAGGAGTGGTTTGAAATGAATAACTTAATGGTTAATGCAGGGCGTGTGACTCTGTTTGCAGAAGGCTGTCGAGGATCTTTATCCGAGGTTTACAAAATCAAGAACTTTTTTTCTTTTTTTCTTTTTTTCTTTTTTTCTTTTTTTCTTTTTTTCTTTTTTTCTTTTTTTCTTTTTTTGTTTTCTTCTTTGTTTTTTTTAATCCATTAATATCAAGATTTATGTGATTTATAAACAGAAAATAATCAGTAAATTTAACTTACGAGAGAAAGGCCAAGGGCAGCATCAGACGTATGCTTTAGGAATTAAAGAGGTATATTTGCAGCATCCTAAATAACCGTGTAGAAATTGTATCTTAGTTGTGTATTTTAGAACTCCGTTTGCAGTATGTAATTAAAATGTTTGGGTATTTTATGCTTCTTTCAACACGGTCCTCGAATAGTTTTGACTAAAAGCTACGATATTCACAATTTCCTTCATATTTTTATCCATGAAAAAATTGCTCGAGTTATCCTTTTCTTTGTCAGGTTTGGGAAATCAGTGAAGAGAAGCATGACGCTGGCTCGGTGCTTCACACATTAGGTTGGCCACTCGACCCCAAGACCTACGGTGGATCTTTCATATATCATATGAAAGATAGACAGGTCTTTTTTTCATTACCCGATAATATTCCTAATCTAAATGACCATTTGGATTAAGATAGCCAAAAGGCAGCATTTAATTGAAGAAAATTACTCGATAATTCTCGTTCTGAAAGTGCCATTTAGTTACCAATGTCCAATTATTGCGACAAATGGACATTATTTTGGAAACTTTGCTTTAGGTCAGATATATTGAAACAAAAAATATCAATGACAATTTTGTATTGATTCTTGGTCTTACATTTTTTTAAGCAAATTACGGCCACCCCTGAGGTAAGGTCAAATTACGAAAAGATCCCTCGTGTCTGGGTAGTTACAACCACCCCTCAACTATGAATCTTCTTCCATGTCCACTCTTGCGTGTCAAATTTAGTGGAATCTTCTAGATTATGTGGAATAATCTTCAGTTTGTACCCGTTTTACCCCATTCGAGCTCCACAATTTGAAACAAGATTATCATAAGATGTGTCTCTTAGCTTGTAAATATCAGATTATGGTGCATCAAAAACTCTAGTTTTTGCACAAAACGAGTACAAACTAGAGAACATTGCACGGTATCTCGAAGATTCTGTTGAATTTGACACCATAAAGGTGGACGTGCAAGAAGATTCATAGTTGAGGGATGGTTGTAATTACCCGAACAAGAGGGGGGTTTTTGTAATTTGACCTTACCACAGGGGTGGCCGTAATTTACCCTTATCTTTTATATGGCGGATAACAAGCTGTTATGTGGGTTTATAATAGTTAGTGTTTTTATATGTTGTTCGTTATTTTCTCTCTCTACACAGGTGGCTATCGGACTTGTGGTAGCACTAAATTATCGCAATCCTTTCTTGAATCCCTATGAAGAGTTTCAGGTAATTTATGGTCTTACTCGTTCTTTTTTTTTTTTACAATCCTTTTTTGCAACTTATTTCAGCAAATGCATTGAAAGTATCTTTAAAATACTATGAAAGTCGAATGCTTACACAGTTTCTTCGTATAGTAGTTAATTTTTTATTTTTTCCTTTCCCTTATCAGAAATTTAAGCATCACCCTGCCGTCAGACCTTTGCTCGAAGGAGGTACGGTGCTTGAATATGGTGCTCGCACTTTAAATGAAGGCGGTTATCAGGTAAATCGAAAAACTTCCGTCTTCCTTTAATTTTGAAAGTTCAACCGGAAAAAATAAAAAATAAAAATGAAAAATTACGAAGCAAAGGCATTCCTTAATTCCAGTTTGTTAATATTTTTTTTCTGCAAATATAAGTACGTGTTTAAATCTAATGGGAATGAAATATGATGTTAGTTAAATTTCAGTCAATACCTTACCCAGTTTTCCCCGGTGGAGCAATTATTGGATGTTCAGCTGGGTTCCTAAATGTACCGAAAATAAAAGGATCACATACTGCAATTAAATCAGGTATTAGTTAGTCTATAAGATTTCTTATGTTATTATTATTATTAAATTTTTTTTTATTAATTGTTTATTGACATTGCTGGTTAGCCTTACTAGAAAAATTAATTCAAAATCCCAAATTATAATAGACATCAATTTATTTTTAATCTTACTGTTATAATGATTTTAAGGGAAAAAAATAATAATAATGAACATTTATCCATCTTAATTCATTTTATTTAGGTAAACGAAGATAAAGATGGTATTTGCATTTCTAATTTCCCTCGGAGAATTAATTTCAGGAATGCTAGCAGCAGAATCTGCGTTCGGCACACTCCATAAAGAGTCACCGTTAGAGAATTTCTGGGACAGTTTAAAAAGTTCATGGATATGGAAAGAGCTTCACAGTGCAAGAAATTACCGTCCCGTAAGTATTATAATTGGTCGATTTTATTTATTTTTACTTTTTTTTTTTGGTTTATTGGGCGATGAGGAAAAAAGATGCTTAATTATAATTTGCTTATATAGTTTTCGAACTCTCCGTAATATATATGTGTCGTATTATATTGCAGGCATTTGAGTATGGTCTCTTTCCTGGTTTGGCGCTTAGCGCTCTAGAACAGTAAGATTAATTAATAACCATTATTTTCTGAGAATAACAATTTTTCGAATAAATAACTTTTTTAAATATGCTGATTAATGTATGCTGCTGTTACCAGTTATGTAATGAAGGGAAGATCTCCATGGACACTGAAACACGGAAAACCCGATCACGAGGCAACTGACGTAAGAGCCTTCTGTATCCAACTTTTTTCTATAATATGATTTTCTTGCATTTAGTACTCCTGTGTTGTATCGAATTGCTAAAAAAAGTCCCCGTAATGCTTTTTTAGCTCACAACCCCTTATTGGGGGTTAGTTTCCTAAAACAAATTGCATTGTGGGGTTTTTGTGCTAATATTAATAATGCGGGGACTTTTTTAGCGATTAGAGCAAACACAAGGGTGCTTAATGCAATAAACCCATGATCTTTCGTAAAAGCCTCTGGACAATTTCGACCATGCGGTGAAATTTACAGGAAGCGAAAATGTGGAGGACAATTGATTACCCAAAGCCTGATGGTGTTATTTCTTTTGATATGCCGACTTCTTTGTACCGGTACTCTCTCTCTCTCTCTCTCCTATATATATATATATATATATATATATATATATATATATATATATATATATAGTAGAACCTCGATATATTAATACTCGATAAATTAATAACCTCGCTTAAATAATCATTTCTTCCGGTCCCGTCTCGATGAGAACGTGTTAAATTATTAATTCGATAATTTAATATTTCGCTAAATTAATAAAATTTCTCTACTCTCGGCTGTATTAATTTATAAAGGTTTAGCTATATATATATATATATACATTTTTTGATTTTATTTTCGTTTAGGAGCAATACGAATCACGATCATGACCAACCAGCTCACCTTCGGTTGAAGGATCCGAAAAATCCAGAAAATGTAAACTTACCAATATATGGTGGACCAGAAACAAGATATTGCCCTGCACGGGTTTACGAGTAAGTAAACTATTCTTTCTTTACGTTAACTATTTCAGCAAGTTTCCGAATCACTGGTTTTTATTTACTGAATTACGTTACATGCAATGAAAATATGACAGATACATAGCCGATGAAAACGGCTGTCAAAAGCTGCAGATCAATGCTCAAAACTGCCTGCATTGCAAGGTAAACAAACTGCATTCCACAAAAACACACTAATTACACGTAGGGGTGGAAATTGGAACGGAATTGCCAAATTCAGCCGATTTTGGAACAATATTATTCATGCCGATCTTTTTTTGGAATGGAATCGAAATATATTAGATTCCAATTTCCAATCAGATTTTAATTTTTTAAAATTCCAATTTTTTTCCGAAAAATTCACTTATTATACTACTTTGTTTTTTTATATTATAGTTGACTGAAAATTAGAAAAGCCGAATTCCGCCGAGATCTGAAAATTTTTTATTTTGAAACAAGTTTTTTCACGTCCGAAAGATATTGGTATTTTACCGAAAATGCTAATTCCGCGATCCGCTCGATTTTCCACCCGTAAATGCATGTACTGAAAAACTGACAAATAACATCATAAATAATTATCACAAAACACAAAAAACGTGTATAAAAACCCCATTAACAGCCTTGATTAGCTCTCGAATTATTGTCTACTATTTGAACAGGCATGCGATATTAAGGATCCAAAACAGAATATAAAGTGGACGGTGCCAGAAGGTGGCGGTGGACCCGGATACACTGTCATGTAGATTATGAGTTCTTTCAATCCCTGTGCAGACATTACACACAATGTAAGGTGTTAGTAGTTGGTACAATGAATATGGTGCTGGAAAACTCGTGTCGTCTTCAATAACACTTTTTTTTCTGAGAATATTCTGTGTCTCGTACGAATTTTTATCGATGGGTTTGAGAATCAACGTAAATAAAACTACAAATTTGACTTAATGATTAAAAGTGACCACAGCCGACAAGATCTCTGCATTACTAGTGATCGATCGACTTCGGCACTGCACTGTGAAACCCATGCTACGAAAGATGTCTCGTAATTTTTACTAAAAGGATGAAATTTCTATTTTAATCCTCGAATCCGCTTTGACTTAAATCTAAATAAAAGCATTTTAATTTTCTTCATGTTTCCTACTTTATTAACAGTTAAACATATTTATGCATTGATTAAAACTCGAAATTCTTAAATATGTCATGTGCACAAATTACGGCATCACCCGAGGTAATGTTAAATTACAAAAAATGAAATCCCCTATTGTTTGTATAATTACAACCATCCCCTTCAACTATGTATTGTAGGGCTGTGCATGGATCGGTTTTAACCACCAACCAACCCATTTTCGACCCATAATTTGTGACGTGTAATCTTGAGGTTGATAATGTCAACCAAACCATGTATAGTTAGGTAGATAATGGTTTCTAATATGCTAAAAAGTTGGTTAGTCGGGTAATATCGGTCAACCAACTTTATTTATTAATTTATTATTTATTAATTTATTTAAAATATTTAATATTTTTTATTTCATATTTCTATTTTATATCACATTTATTAAATTGTCTAATATTGACCAAAATCCTAAAAGTAATAAATCTAACCTAATTATGTAATTTGAACTATTTTAATTTTAAGACTAGTCTAAATATTTGGACGATTATTATTTGCTAAACTATTTATGTTTAATTGCAATACATATGACCCGTAATGTTTTGAATTTTTTATTTGAATATTGTTGAACTAGTCATAGTTAATTTATAAAAGATATAGCATTGTCACTAATAAAATATTAAACAAAATTAAACAAATATTTAGATGGTTGACACATCAACTAAACCATCAACCGTCCCACTAAATTGGCTTTCAACCATCACCCAATCCATGTAAATTGGATCGATAACGGTTTCCAATATTGACCAAAGTTGGTTGGATGGGTTCGGTCAGTTTTATGGCTGGTTTTTAACCAACCCAACCAACTCACAGTCCTAATGTATTGTCTCACACTTCCACTCTTACGATGTCAAATTTACCTATGGTTTTTCATCCTGCCGGTAATCTGATCGAATCTAACCGAACAAAAATCTAACCGTACTTCAAGAGATGGCTGCAATTTGTCCTTATTTCATGTCTTCGAAATTAAAAAGCCCAAAACAAAAGAACAAATTTTGAAGAGAAAAAACCTACCATGACCACGATTAAACCACCGGTCAACCGAACAAGCAACTCCTAACTATAACCAAAACCACCTCCCGCAATATCAATCAAGGATCAAAATCTGCTAACCCTTGACATCACCGATTTCAACGAGTGAGAGAAAGTGTACAAGAACTCAAGTAAAACAATTCTACAACTAAAAAAACATAAACAGTCAACAACAAAAGAACACCTCATACTCTAGATGTGAGTAATAATAGAACAACAAAACAGCCTTAACCAAGTTAATGAACTAAAAAAATATAAATCAATAAACCCGCCTAGTGAAACCGATAATCGATGTAGTTTTAACCTAAAAACAGACTAACCAAAAGTCAACGAGCTACAGGACCCGCACCATAAGATTTCAGTGGGGACCACCATATACACCCCTCCAACACCCAATATAACATAGACCCGTAAAGACTCATTTTTTTCTAATCCTTCGAGGATCCATCGGGAGGAGGATTTGGAGGGGCAATATTGTCTTTTTGAACAGAAGAAGCCTGCATTGACGACGATTGCGACTGGAACTGCTGTTGAAATTGCTGGTGAAGCTGATGCTGCTGCTGCTGTTGCTGCTGTTGAAACTGCCTTTGGTGATGCTGCTGCTGCTGCTGCTTTTGAGAGTGTATTTGGAGCTGCTGCAATTGTTGTGCAGTTAGCAGTGTGTGCACTGCGTGGTTGTTGCTGTTGTAATATTGCTGCTGCTGGTTTGCTGCTCCGTATTGTGCGGGATAATTCATCATTGCTCCACCGTTGTTAGCGATTGCTTGACCGGTCAACACCTTCAGATGCTGTATCTCTTCTTTCAACGCGTCGTTCAGTGCTGTCAATTTCAAATTTTAAAAAGAATATTAGTTCGTGATTGACTAAATGTCATTGCAAATTTAACTTCAATCTGCATCCTTTTTTTTTTTTGACTATTTGTTTTGAGGCCAAATAGCAAAGTTTTGCAAGAAAACGGAAGGGATGAAATTTTCGAGGAAGGATTTTTTTTTGTATTACCGTCTTGGAGGTGCACTTGTTGTTCCATTGTTTGCAAGCGTATTTTGAGTTCACCGTTTTCAGATGTAAGACCATTTGTATCTCTCTGTTCAAGAAACGAAAAAAGAAATAATTAATTAATATACGCCTCCGAGTGAGAGTGTTATATCCTAATTTCTTTTGGACAGGTAAAAAATGTAATTAATCGAAGCCACCATCCATCAAGAATCAGTAATTGGATTATAAGGGGGGAAGGAAGCAAAGGTTAATAAATCACCTGAAGTAAGGTTAACTGTGCAGACAAGGAAGTTGCTTCTGTTTGCAGGGTTTGGACTTTCCTTTCAAGCTCAGCTATATACCTCATTTTCCGTTCCTTTGACCTTGCCGCTGACTGCCTATTCGCCCAAATCCTGTAATAAGATGAACGAAGCACAAATGTAAGAGAACAAAATGACATGGGTGTTAAAGAACAAAAATAATTTAGTGAAAATTTGTTTCGTTTAGTGGAATTAACATCAGTGATTGAGGTTTACGACAGAATCGCTGACTAAAGAATTAGAAGCCAGAACATGCGACTGCTGAAGAAGAGATGTATGAACAATATGTAACAGTGATAGGTACTTCTTTCACTAGAATTTGCATAAGATTCACAACTTGGAATCCAGCAAAATCCCGATTATTCAAATATACCAATATGATGAAAGTAACACTAAGTTGTAAGGGCTGCCAAATCATTAAGGTAGCACTTAGATGGAATTGAAATCGACTACAACTACTTGAACAAATAGCTCAAATTGAGGTCAAAGAGATTTGAAACTCATCGTAGAATGAATTCATCTAAATCCCAAATTAACTCAAAATCGGTTTATTAATATGGATTTGAAATCCTTCAATTCAAATGAAGCTTAAAAGGGATCACTACGGAACAATTATTTGAACGCTTCCCCTCTTTAACACTTCCACCTTTCCAAACCGCAAAAACACAGAATCAGAAACGTCGTTCTTTTAGACTCGTTCATCTATTTAACCCCGACTCAAGACAAAGAAAAAGGCAAACATAAGAATTTTTCCTATCTGCATGACCGGACTGCTGAATCAATTACCTATATTAAAATCTCCATTACTAAATTAAATCCAATAATAATCCTAAATATATTTTTTTTAAATATATCTCATTTATTAATTTTGTAAAGGGATCTCGTGATACCGAAAGTACAGAGAAATTTAATTCATTCGTCATTTTTCTGATCTTTTCGATTTTATTGTAACGATGCATCGTGACTCTGCATGCTACAGGACCTTAATCCATATCTAATGCAATTACTCGTTGTTTTATTTCAATAATCAGCAAATAGAAGGATGCAGTTTTTCATTGTTCAAGGGAACTTCTCAAAAGTTCACTTCATGGACACATATAGACTAAGGCCTCGTTTGGTTGCCAAGATAAAATTAAATAATCTAATGAAACCCAATTGTATTATTGGACCTTGGAAGATCCAATAAAAAAAACATGCCTAAAAGGCAAAATAAGGCATGATAGCATAACATTTGCGGGTCGACTCGGCAAGTTATTGGGGATACCAAACATCAAACATAGTCCAATTATTTAGTTAATCGTGGCTTATCTCCCCAATCAAACAAGGCCTAAAGGTATATGTTTTGCATGTGTTAAGAACATAAGTAACAATGACAACGGTGAATTACTAACAGCTGTCAATGTCTACTGAGTCCAACCGTATACACTTCCTGCCAAAATATTGGACACAAGTGCATGAATAGAGACAAAGTGTCCAAGTGTCACTAAAACAAGGTACGCACACATAACACAACTATATACTTAACCGACAACAATGAGCATCAATTCACAGCTCTTCCTATGTTTCATGCACAATACTTTTTGGCAATAGTATTGACAGCCTACATTCTAACCAATATCTTTTAAACAGCTGGCAACCATATATGCATGAAACCATATTAATACGAGCAAAAAGAATATTAGAAATTACAGAAACTCACAAAGCTATAAATTTGAGAAACGCAAGTCTCGATATTACTTACTAGCAAAGCAAGTCAACAAACTGAGGGTCAAGAAGCCATATTCAAATTTTCGGAATCCACATAATTTGGCAACACCAACAAGTTGAAAGGAATGAAAAATAAATGATTATGACAGCTGTTATGAACTTCTAATACATCAAAACGATTAATCAGCCAGGAGACACAAACTAAGTAACCCTTACTGCACTCTATCAATTTTGTTAACACGAGAAGATATAAATCATCGAAAAATATATTATATCTTACAAATGCTCTGCAAATAAATCAAGGATAAAAAACTACAGAATGCTAGATAAATCAAGTTATGCGTAACATAAATTTAATAATATTTTTATCAGCATGAAAATAATACCTTTTGGCACGCTTTGGATCAATAAGAGCCAGCTCAGCAAGCTTAGCAGCAGACATGGCTTTCTTAGCATCACCGGAAGAAGGATCCTCCGAGCCAGACATGAGCATCTCCGCTTTGATAGAGGTTGACCCATCCATTGACTGGCTATGCTGATGCCTAATCCTCGGTTTTTCACTTAACCCTTGAGCAGCATTATTATCAGCCAATGATTGGTTAGCAAATGCCGATGCAAAACCGGACGAAGAGCCTGGCTCGGCTGCTAAAGAATTAGACGATTCGCCCACTTGGAATGCCGACGTGGCGGATGTGGAATTGAACTTATCCATATCGAGGTACATCGAGAGCAAATCCTCCTCTGTTTCGTCGGAGAAAGACGGCCCGTCGAAACCCCCGACGACACCTAGGTCACTGTCGAAGCTGATGTCATCGGGTAGGGTGAGGATCTCCGAGTGGGCTCGTCTGTGTCCTAGATTCTTGGACGGGTTGTCGGACATTCTGCTTATATCGTGACTGAACTGCCGAGCATCGGAATGACCAAAATGCCCCTGCTCCGACGAACTGCCTCCTGGGCCTAGTGGGGGTAAATTCGGCAATCCGGATTGTTCTGGCTTGACATTGTAGCTGCTGTTCGGTGGGGAGAAACCGGAGTACCGACCTGATGGAGGAAGTGAACTTCCACTACAGTGGTGTGACTTGTCTTTTTCCATTGATTGAAAATCTCCAAACCCTAAATTCTTCAGAGCCACCTAATGCATTGCATAAACAGCTCAATCAATCGAAATCAATCGAAACAAAACCCTAAGATTTACGACTCCTTCAAAATTTCACGAAAATGGCTTGATTTTTTGTCTTGTAAATCTACCAATTGGGCAATTGATTAAAACTCGCCGGCTCGATTTTAATTTATAAAGTAACAGAATAAATTAACAGAAAATGAATGCCCGACAAAGATCTGATTATTCAAATGAGTTTCAAATTGGGGGAAAACAAATTATTGTAAAAAATAATTAATTGGAAAAAAAAAACATCAAATTCGGAGCTGAATACAGAGTTATACATAAACGACATGCATATATGTAATGAAGTGACAGGGAAATTGGAGAATTGAAAGAAAAAAGGCGATACAGAACAATGGCAGATGAGAATATTAAAAAATTAAAATAAAAATTAAAAAAATTGGGAACGAATAAAACACGGAAAAGTGCTTACAGGTGAAGCTTTTTTTGTTATTTTTCTGTCTTTCTCTCACTAGATCTCAAAATGGAGGAATTGATATAGAGAGAGAGAGAGAGAGAGAGAGAGAGAGAGAGAGAGAGAGAGAGAGAATCGAAGAGCTGCGAATGGCGGAAACAAATCAAATCTCGAAATGGTCAAGAGGCACGCACAGACACACACACACACATTAAGAAGCTTCAAAGAGACGATGAATATATATATACACACACACACACACACATATATATATATATATATATATATATATATATATATAAGAGATGTGTGTGTGTGTGTGTGTGTGTGTGTGTGTGTGTGTGTGTGTAATAAAAGGGGGCAATAATTAAATAAGTGGAGGTGACGTGCTTGTTGGGCAGGGACTCATCCAACAAGGGAATGAAACAAACGGGCCTCAAATATTAAATATTATTAATTTGTGTCTCATTTTAAGTAATTAATTAATTAATTAAAATTTATTTGCTAAATATGAAACATTTCCTCTCTCTCTTCTTTTATTTTATTTTTTTGCAATTTTGAATATTCAGGGAAATAAGGAAAAAAATTAATTTACTTACTTGGATAAATAAAGCAAAAGGGGAATATTTGTTAATGCAAAAGTGTTTTTTTACACTAATTATTGAATTTTGAATTTGAATTTCCTATTTTTGGTATGTCACTCATGAGTATTGCCATTATATCGTAGATCAAGATCCGATTTTCATCACTAACTAAGTTTTGGCTTATCGATATCGAAGTTTCTTCGATAGATTTGACGTCAGAGATTGGAGGTTTGAATTCTTTTAGGTGCGCATTATGTGATATCGTTATATGACCAACTTTTTTCAAAGAAAAAAAAAATCCAATTTCTATTTTTTTTTTTTTAAACTTTAACACATTATTTTAAAATTTAAAATATATAGAAATTGTGGTGTGCTATTTCCCTTACACAAAATTTATTGAATAAAATTATAGCACTAGTGTAAACATCTCAATTTAGTACTTTATCAATTGATGCACTTACATTTTTTATAATATTCATTTTTATTACAAGAAGATTTTTGTGATGTGTTCGTTTCATTCATGTTATAAATTTGATAAAGAATAATGGCAAATATGCTCATGACAACATGGTACTAAGGGGTTCGTTTTGCACGTTTATTACGTATCTAATCCTCGAGTTTGAGTTTTATTCGTCCGAGTGGTCGGCTTTTGCATATATTATTGTTTCCTTGTTTTATTTCAGTTTTAAGTAAAGAGAAACTATTTTTGTTAATTTAAACTATTTAGAAGTGAAGCCAATGTAAAATAGACTAACCAGATCGCGATCCCATATGAGGGTTTTAATTGCAAGCAAAATTTATGTTACAGTCATTTCCAAACATAAGTACGTAAATTTAATTTTTTTTTTTTTATTTTTTTTTTTTTTTTCTTTCTTTTGACAGCATTTTTCTTCGATAAAATCGTAAGTGAAGTTACCGAAATCACCATGGATGATGATCATATTGATTCATAAGTAAACGTACGTAATTAAGTTACGTACTAGAAAACAGCACATTCGAACACGACTCGGGTTGTTACCGTACAGATCAAAGTGTTGTAGCATGGGTAAATAAATGTCATGGTCTTTCAATCTTAATGCCATGTACATCATCTGTATTTCATTATTCATAGCACATGTTTTATTTTTTATTTAATATTTTTAATTTTGTAATTGATTTGTTAATTTCCTTCTACATGAAAAAGTTCATCACGAGATATTTGGATTCGTTCGTCTATATTTATTATAGTTGTCTAACTGTTAGCATTTACGATTCGATTCACCGATTCATTTAGAGTTTTATGTTTTTCGATCTGAATCCTACATTGAAATTCTGATTCAGCAAGATGTATCGATGTTTTATTATCTCTACTGAAAGAAAAACGAGATCAAATTTTTTTTTTTGAGATGAAAACGACATCAATTAAAATAACTAAAACTAAATTAAATAGTAAAAACATCTTTATTATTCTAGGTTCAGGGAATATATCTATTTCGCCAATAAGTTCATCCATTTAATATTTATTATTAAATAAAGGAAACATTAATATCTATGACAAAATTACCCAAATCTTTTACACCCAATTCTTAATTGTAACCCAATTTAATCAATTTTGACCACAAAAATCTAATTTTGAATTTTTTTTTAAACTTTTTTTTTCAAAAACTTTATTTTTCTGCGGTCGGTCTTCTGCGTTGACTTTTTGATTTTTTTTCCGCCGTCGGTTTCCAGCGTTGATTTTTTCAGTGATTTTTTTTTTTTTTTGCATAAATTTTTTATGCGTTTTTTTTACTTCTGCCGCTAAACGTTGACCGTAATTGTACTGTCATCAACAATAATTATATTGTCACTTACAGTACACTAACGTAATTATACTATCACTGATAGTACATTAACGTAATTATACTGTCAACACTGTCGTTGACAGTATATTAACATAATTGTATTGTCGTTGACAGTACAATTAGAGTTAACGACAATATTATTATTTTTCTGGATTTTTTTGTTTGATTTGTTGACAAGTCAACGTAATTATATTACTGTCGTTGACAGTAAAATAACTGTAAATATAATAATATTACTGTCTACCACATTAATATTGTTGTTTTGTTTGAGTTGTTGACGGAGTAACGTGATAATAATACTGTCTACTATTGTAATATTATTGTAAACACAATAATATTACTGTGGTTGACAGTAATATTACTGTTGTTACAGTAATATTACTGTCAACTACAATAATATTAATTATGTTGGTTTTTTATTATGTTTACCTTTGTTGAACGGTCAACATATTAAAACTGAACTCATTTTTTATGATTATTCACGTAAAAAAAATCATGAATTTTAAGTTATTTGGATAAAATCATCTTAGAAAAAGTTAGAGAGAATATGAGTAGAGAGAATTTTTTTTTTAATTTATGTGTTGAATTTAGTAAATTTTAATTTAGTGTGGGATTTAGCAAGCATCATTTATAAAATGCCCTAAAAATGAAATACACATCTTATTTAAAACGAAATCAATTAAAAGAACTAAAACTAAATTACATATTAAAATAAAAAACATCTCTTTACACTGTCCCGTAAGGGATGATCTAGCGGTTAGAGCTACGCGGAGCTTGTCACACATCCCTTATATTGCGAAATGATGAATAGTTACAAATCGATTTTTAATGAATATAGGACATTTTTTTAATTACAACTTTATCTCTATTTTTGGACCCATATTTTAATAGTTATAGACATTTTAATATAAAAATTAATTATTGTCATCTATTTATCATTAATTGTTAAATATGATTAAATCTATTCTCAATTTCGAGTCTCAAACACATTTGAAGAAAACTCTAAATTTATTTGTCTTTAACTAAATTTTTACCTCACTTTCAGCCGTATCATCTTCCAAAACCGACAAATTCATGTTCTTGACGATTAATGATGATTAATGGTATGGTATTCTCCCAAAATAATGTCGACGAAAAAAAAGAGTGAGAAGAAAAATAAGATAATACATACAGGTTTTGCTATAGTAGAACTTCGATAAATTAATAACCTTGTTTAAATAATAATTTTTTCGGTCCTAACTCAGTAAAACATACTAAATTATTAGTTCGATAATTTAATATCTCGCTAAATTAATAGAACTTTACTAGTCCCGATGGTATTAATTTATAGAAATTTAATTGTATTGTTTATGTCTCGAAAAAAAAAAAAAAAAAAGAAAAAAGGAAAAAGCTTTACTATTTAAATAAATTAAATAATGGGCTGGGCCCAGAAAACACTTTGTAAGCCCATTACAATAAATCATATGCCTACATACGACTCATTGCGAAATCGTTCTTCCTCCAGGGTTTAACAACCGAAGTCCCAAATTTTGGTAAAATTTATTGCCTGCAATTTCTTCATTTACCTCACCGGATCGGTACTATGTCCGCCGCAACTCCGTCTTTCAGTGGCAATCTGAAGGCAAGTCCTCCTCCTCCTCCTCTCCGTAATTTCATCTGGGTCTTCCATTTTGTGTTCTACTTATCGACTGCACACAAGATGTTTGTGAAATTATCGATTGCACACCAGATGTTTGTGAAAATGCTTGAACGAAAAATCTCGAGTTGCAAATGGAAATGATTGTGATTTCTTTGCCCTGATCGAAAACTGCCATGTTCAATGTGATGAAATTCTGTCATATCTGATGATTCTTAGAGCATAAACTATTGAATTTGTGGAATAAGGGTTTGATGTATACTATTTTTCTTTTTCTTTTTCTTTTTTCCCCAGCTATGAAGGCATGATATTGAAGCGTTACTGTTAATTATCCATTCGATTACTCTTCGTTTTTTCAGACATTCAGCATCAACATTTTATTGTTGTTAATTTGTTTTAAATAGCAGAAGTAGTTGCTTTTAGTTCTTTTCATCTCGTAAAGAAGCCAATTTTTTTTAAGGAATATATGATTTAGATATTTATAGTTCCTACTGACCAGTGTATGATCGATAATCTTTCAGAAAGCACTTGCTGGGATACGACGTATCGATTTGGAAGGTCTAAGATGGAGGGTTTTTGATGCAAAAGGCCAGGTTTGGACACACACACATATACTTAGTTATGAGGAATGTATGCGTTATGGAATTTTTTTTTCGACGATGTAGGTATTAGGGAGGCTAGCATCGCAGATATCAACTGTTGTTCAGGGCAAAGACAAGCCTACATATACACCTCACTGGGAGGAAGGTGATATGTGCATTGTTATTAATGCAAAAGACGTATGTGTCACCGGGAGGAAAATGACCGACAAATTTTACCGTTGGCATACAGGGCAAGTCCCAGTTTTCTAATCTATGTATATATATTGAATATATATGTTTGCGATGGTATTGAATCGTGTCTTGCTTTCTGGTCCCTGGTGCTTTTCGACATAAACAATAATGAAGGTTTTATGTGACGTTTTTGAGCCTATAGGTACATTGGCCACCTCAAGGAACGGAGCCTGAAAGACCAAATGGCTAAAGATCCGACTGAAGTTATTCGTAAAGCTGTCCTAAGGATGCTTCCCAGAAACAAATTACGTGATGTGAGTTTTATGATGTTTGATACGTTTCCTTATTATAATGTGTCGGTGAAATTCTTTCGTTTGCAGCATTTTGTTAATCGGTTCTGTTTAGCTATTATGCTTTCGAATATTCTCTTCGGGCCGAGGTGTATTGACTAGTTTAAAATTAATTTGATGTCTTGGAGAACTGTTGTAGTACAAGTTAAACAATGTAAATCACTTTCACTAGAAACGGGAGACCATTAGGGAAAATTGTAATTTTGGTCCTAGATGTTGGTCTCTTTAGGGATTTAGTCTTTTTAAGTTGTTTTATTTCAATTTTACATGCAATAATTATGCAAAATTAGTTTTTCTAGTCCTATTTCACTCGAAATTTGAATTTTAGCCGTCGTTTAATGATGTGCCTAACAAACTCGCAGAAATTTATTTATATGGACACTTAAAATTATAAATGCTCCTCTAATTTGGTTTATAGATGTGTCATCTCACATAATTAAAGTTCTACCAATGGTAAATTAGATGTCGAATTTATCAATTTCCACGCGTCCATATTATAAGTAAAATGCGTCAAGTTTATTTGTCGCGTCATAAAATAAAAAATCATGCAAAATAGGACTAAAAATACTATAGTTGCAAAGTTATTGCATGTAAAACTGAAACATGACAAGTTAGAGGACTAAATTCCTAAATAGGCCAACATAGAGGACCAAAACTACAATTTTCCCGAACTATTTAGATATGTCTTGGTGCCTCTGGGTTCGATGGTTTAGTGATGAAAGGAATTCATATTTCCTTCGTAATTTTTTCCACACGTGCCAGAAGATGTCTAATTTGAGAGATACATTATTGTTGGTAGTGATTATAATTCAGACATTACTAATTCGAAAACCCGAGTCAGATCCCAATAAATTGAAATAGCCTGTATGACTAGTAACTTCTGGCGTTGAATAGAGAAGTTTCTGATATGTTCAAGAAAAGCTTTATTCCGATATTCTTTAGAGAATTTTATGATAAAACACCCTAGTTAGCGTTGACTCTCGTTTGTTTGATTACCTATTTTCGGTTGACTTAGATTGAGACTTCTTGCCGTTGTTTGTTCAGGATCGAGACCTGAAATTGAGAATATTTGCTGGGGGAGAGCATCCTTTTGGTGACAGGCCAGTCGAACCTTATGTAATGCCTGAAAGACAAGTGCGTGAAATGAGGCCCCGTGCAAGACGAGCTATGATTCGTGCTCAAAAGAAAGCCGAACAACAAGAACTGGGTAATAATTCAAATGTTAAAAAAGGCAAAAAGAGAGAAGTGGTCGATGAAGAAGAAGTAAGTGCTGCGTAAGACTTATTTGTTTCCTACGTGGGGCCTCGAGGCTTCCTCTCTAGATGTTTGTTTGTTTTTAACGTTGGATAATTTCGGATTCAGAAAGTGACTTGATTGCAGGATTTTGTCGTGTGTATTACAAATTGACGGTTAAGACTTTTATTTCTAAATTTTGGTAACACATTTGTATCTGTTTGCATGGTGGTGGCTTCGTTATTTACAAGCAATACTTAATCTTTACGCTTTTTGAGGGGTTATTGAAGGTGTTGACTGAGTTTGATGTTGTCGTGATTAAGTTTGGCTACAGGGAAGTGAACGCAACTGCTAGTATTTTTGCGAAATAGGGTTTTTATGATAGTAGTTGCCCCGAAAATTTTGATACTCTTCTGGTTTCTGATCTTTCCGGCAGTTTATTATATTCGATGCCGAAATCCTTGTACCAAAGCTTTGATTCTGAAATCGCAATATTATGGTGTTGCTCTCTCTCTCTAGAGGGATGTGTTCCCTTTGATTGTATTCCGATTATCTGTTTTTGTGACGGCGGCTTTCCGCTTGTCGAATGTTCTACTTTCTCTTTCTACTAATATATTCTCATTCATCAAAAAGAAAAAAAAAACCCACATCCTCGTAGCTTGGGGTATAAAAGATCGAGTTCAGTCAAAACCGTGATTGTACAAATTTACTAGTAACTCACCCGTGCGATGCACGGGGATCAATTCTAAGTACACATTTTTAATGATTAAAACACGCCGATGAGATAAATCAAACACATTTATGAATGAAAAGGATGTTAATGCGATGATGGGGTAATATAAAAAATAAATATATATTTTAGACAAAATAATCGAACGAAAACTTTGAATAGTCAATAGATGATATATAGTACGATATCATCTAAAAAATTTTAAAACTATGTCAATTACATTTTATTTAAGTACCAATATAAACAAAATAAATGATAAATGAAAATATAGAAAATGAAAATTGTGATATATAAAATAAGATATGTATTATATGATCTAAATGGTACAACTATCTCGTCCAATATACTCGGTTAATAAAACTTAATTACCAAAGTAGTGTTTTACAACACATCCATTGACATCTCGTATAACTCTCTTTGCGAGTAACATACATATTTTTCATTGTTCAAATGCAATCAGTGATTCACATTACTGAAACATAATCACTTATAGGTGTAAAAATAAATACAATTTGTACTAAATCACCTCGATTCTAAAAAAACAAATTTAGTGGAGTAGACAATAAAAATTGCATAAACTGCAAATAAACTAACACAGTAAATAATTATATATATAATAAAAAAAACAGATGTGTATTTGAATCACAATATACAATTTTTATGATGTAAATTCATATTCACTGAAAAATCCTAGTAGACAATATCGCAAGTAATATTAGTCGTCTATTCCGGATTGATGATATCTTTATGCCACCTCTACTCTTAATTCTTCATATAGCGACGTATAATACTCCATGCTACTTCTAATACAAATACTAATATTAATACTAATACTAATACAAATATTATTATTAATACTATACTAATACTAATATTAATACAAAAATCAATACTAATATTAATATCAATATTAAACCAATATCAGTACCAATACCAATATCAATACTAATACTTATACCAATACTCATACCAACATAAATACCAATACATATACCAATATCAAATATCAATACCAATACAAATACAAATATCAATACCAATACCAATACCAATACCAATATCAATACCAATACCAATACCAATACCAATACCAATACTCATACTAATATTAATACTAAAACTAATACTCATACTAAAACTAATAATAATATTCATACACATACTAATACTCATACTAATACCAACACTAATATTAATATTAATACTAATACTAATACTAACACTAATACTAATACTAATCGTAATATTAATGCTAATATTAATACTAAATATTAATACTTAATACTAATACTAATACTAATACTAATACTAATACTAATACTAATACTAATACTAATACTAATATTAATATTAATACTAATAC